TATCCAGTCAGCAGTTTCAATATCCCAGAGGCTATGACGCCACCTGAATGCTTCTGTTTAGCACAGGGTGTTTTTGTAATCAGTGGTTCATGTTCTGGTCGTCACACATGATGACACGGAGGGGTGGTGGTATATCTGACAGGTATATGAGGAGACACTGGGTCCCACTTGCTGATTCTATTTGTTTTCTCCATAGACTGTATATAAAAGATGGGCACAGCCACTGTGACATCACTGATTTGTTCGTAAAGACGTGCTGTGAAGCAGGTGGGGGTTGGAGAACCAGGTGCAGCACAGTCAGCTTGTGACTGATTACTCTTGAACGTACCCTCGATAATCCTCCTTCCTGACTCTTGCAGCGACCACGGTTTACTAGAGTAACTGCTCGGATCTCCAATCAAATTCAATAAAACTGATAGTCTTTTTGCGACCATGTGTTGCCCCCTGCTGGCTTTTAAACAGAATACATGTTTAAAGCACCTTTGTGCTGGCTTCACTCTTCAGACTTTGAAGCAGCGCACTGTGGGGACTGACTCGCTTCTGGAGGCAGCCTCAAGTGGACATTAGAGGAACTGCAGACTGAGGAACTTGTTATTTGACTTCATGTTTCATTGTTTCCCTCGCCATAACGTGAGACTATTGGCTACTTTCAGATGACTTCAAACTGCATGTAAGGAGGGTGGGTCTTATATTTCACAGCCAGGTGAGACGTGGTGGTTTGCCTTTATTCCACTCACTTTCACTCACTTTCACTCACTGCTAAGCTTTAGGCACTGAAACCTGTCCAGAGTCAGGAAAAGATGGTGATTCAGGTTAAAAAGCACCTCTTCACAAAGCTAACCCTGATGGCTGATGAATAGTGAGCTGGGAGTGACAAACCTTTCTCCCTAAAGAACACCCTGCGTCCGACAAACACCAGCAGCTTTGACAGAAGTGTTATTGAACACCGCGGGACCGAGAACAGACTGAAACTGAACTTCATTCTGGGGCAAGAGGCTGGTGCTATGGAGGTGGAGTTTACATGTTCCTCCTCATGTATGGACGGGTTCTCTCCGGGTGCTCGGGCTTTCCCCACGGTCCAAAAAATATGCACGGGGTTAACTTGTTATTGTAAATTGAGGTGTGAATTATCTGTCTGTGTGTTAGCCCTGAGTAGGGATGGGTATCGTTTAGGTTTTATCCGATACCGGTGCCAAATCGGTACTTTTGAAACGGTGCCGGTGCTTAAACGGTGCTCGAACCGGTGCTTAAAGAATGGAGAACACAAACTTTGTCCAAAAACCTCTCGTGTTCAGCTGTTTCCCTCTTTTTCTTTGGTCATTTTAGCCTTTTTGGCCAGGGTGAAGGGAGTATCTGCCATCAAACAAGAAGACAGCCGCATGTAGCTATGATGATGTTTGCTAGTTCACCTTACATGCATTAATGTAATAACGTGGTTAGCCTACTCAACGTAAATTACTCACGCAGAGAAGACCGGCTGCTGCCATCATCATCCGTCATCATTTCTGCTACACTGGCAGGGCTAGGGGCCAGGACTCTCCTCTTCGTGTTTTTGGGTATGTTGCTAACTCCGGGTCCGATAACAAGCACCACACCGCAGTAGATGCGCTCGGTGTGAGGTCTCGCAGCAAGCTATCACATACAGCGCATTTCTTGGTTTTTGGGGGGGAAAACCCGCTATGCGTCGCCAGGTGTTTCATCGGATTTGAGGAGTTACCTCCTTTGACAGTATCACAGTATCAGCTTAAAGCACTTGTTGCTGCTGAGTTTGCATCTTTTGCTGTGAAGTACAGCCAGACTTTTGACCGCTTCGCCTTGGGCATTTTTAATCTGTAGCTCTGCATAAAAGAACGTACGTACCTGGCCCCGCCTACTATCCTCGGAAACGTAAAATGATTGGCTAGAAGTGTATCACAGCTCAGGAAAAAAAAACACCGAAATAAAGCACCGAAATGTGCGCTGCTTTTCGGTCTGGTTACTACCGTTTATGTCAGAACCACACCGGTACCCATCCCTAGCCCTGAGACAGACGCGACACCAGGATGTCCCTGCCTCTTCCCCTATGATAGCTGGGATACACCCCAGACCTGAAGAGGGATGGATGGATGTTTATACTGATGCAGTAAAATGGTGCTGCTGTTTTCACCAATGCATGCTTTACTGCATGATGTGACAGGGCGGTCCATGAAAATTTGACCTTGATAAATAAAAGCGGACTATATAAATTCACCTAATAATTGCATCATACAAACTACATCTGAAAAGCCATTTTCCTACATATCATACTTTACTAAAAGAAAAATATCAGTGTTTTTATTTAGACTTTAACAGAATATTTCCTCCATCACTGCAAAAACCCTTCTGATTCGTGTTTGATTGAAGTCCAGGTGAAACCTCTCAGCAGCTCTGCAGAGGATCTGAGCTTTATAGGCTGATAGTTTTGTTGCACATTTCCTGCGTAGCTCAATCTGAGCTCCACCAGCAGCAGGTGGAGGTCTTCATCAAATAAGCTCCAGGCGTTTGTTCTTCTAAACTAAAGCCTAAATAATCTCAGAGAAGAAACAGAAATGTGTATGTAACGCAGAAGCTGGAGACCTGGGAATAAAAGAGTTTTCCCCACTGCAGAGATGTAGTTTTGCTAAGCTGTACATTTTCAGCTCACAGCCCACAGAATGAGACAGAAAATGAAGGCTGTCTATTTAAAGCTTTTCCTCCTCCTGGTGATTGTGTTCTGCTGGTAGAAAAGTGATTTTCCTCAGAGACAGACAGCCACATTGATTCGCACAGGCCGAGACGGTTTAATAAAGCCGGGGTGGAAAGAAAGAGACGTCTGAAAGACGGGGAGAGGCCAGTTTGTAGCTCCCTCGCTACAAATTGCCCTTGATGTGACATCGAGCACATCTTTGACGCATGCGGGTTTGCAACAGGTGGGGATGCATTTTATCCCTTAAAGAAACTGATCTGGGGTCAAACGGGTCACTAATGAGATGGTCATGAATGTGAGGTCAGCCTGAGGTCGTGTTTCAGGAAGAACAAAGGAGGAAGAAATGAAGAAGAAAGGACGGCGAGCGCTCAAGTATTTATTTGAAAAAGCTCTGAGGCACGAAACCAGCGAGAGGTGAGAAAAGCTGCCGCTTGCTTCCTGAAGAGGCCCTGCAGATGTCAAACAGCCACAGTGGTATTGTGTAATTAACTGCTAATGGCAGCATTAAGAGGCTCGCTCCCCCGTCTGAAAATACAAGCAGCGGTTATACAGTTAATTAACAGTCGTCGCTCTGACTCCAGGCTGAAGAAACAACAAAAACACAGAAGAGTGAAAAAAATGATTTTAGCTCATTTCTTTTCTCACAGCCGGCCTGTGAGTTTGACTCATCTCTGACGACCTTCAATGATCAGTTCTGGCACCTCAGCGCGTATCAATAAAGACGTGGTTTGATGATGGCTGCACGGGCAGAGACCCTCCCCAGCTTCAGCTTTCTGAAAATCGGATTTGCTTAGGCTGCTGCCCCCGCGACCCGGCCTCGGATAAAGCGGATGAAGATGGATGGATGGATTTGTCACTGATAAGTGTAACATATCATGTTTTATACAGTGTTCATTTAAAACAAGCAACTCAACACATAAAAAAAGAAAGATCTAAAAGCATCCATCTTCACTTTTTCACTGGGTCAGTTGACTTTGTGTTCAGCCCAGGCAGTGTGGACTGAGCAGCTGAGCAGCAGCTCTTGTTTCTGTAACGGCAATTAAAACCATTCTCAGACTTTTCCCAGCAAAACTAAACTGAACTGTTCAGCTGCAAAGCTACGCTAAAGCTACGTAAGCTACAGTAAAAGCTGTGCATAAACTCTCAGCTGAGTTTGCCATCATCTTTGATTTGGGTAACTTTGCTGCAGGCTGACAGCGAGCTGCCATGAAATGTAGAAACATGCACGTGATGGTCTGAGGCTGGAGCAGCGTAAGGCAACGCATGGCAACGCATGGCAACGCATGGCAACGCATGGCAACGCATGGCTTGTTTTTGCATTTCGAGCATGATGTGATTTTGAATATATGTATTTATATAAATGTGTAAACTGTGACTGTTCCTGTTGTTCCTCGTTGTTTTGAACAGACTCAGAAGTGGCATCTTTATAAAATCCATCCGTCTGTATCGCAGGTGGAACGGAGGCCCAGCCTAAACCAACCAAATTGACAGCACCGCCCACGGAGCCAGGCTGCTGAACACAAAAACCTAAACAGCTACTTTAAATATCTGCACGAGCCGGGGAGGATAAAAAAGCCGCCTCCACTCATCGGTGCAGAAACAGAGAAAACCTCAGTGGGCTCAGCGTTCACTCGGTAATTGTCCAATTTAGGTGGACAGTGCCGAGTGGCGGGCCGGTGCATCCAACAGGAGCAGTGTTGAGGATGTCGGAGTCCCAGGAGGGGTTGATGAGAGGAGGGCATGATCAGCGGCTGGAGGCGGTGTGCAGCATTCACGTGGCAGCTGATAACAGAGCTCATTTAATTTCCTCTGTGTGCTGGGAGTCAGAGAGGGTGTGAGAGGGAAAATGAAAGAAAGCCAGTGTATAGATATATATAAACCTGTGTGTGTGTGTGTGTGTGTGTGTGTGTGTGTGTGTGTGTGTGTGTGTGTGTGTGTGT